CGTCCAGCCGCAGGGGCCCGGCTGGACAGGGGCCGCCCACCTCCACCGCTGCCGCGCCGCCCCTCCACCTGAGATCCACGGCGAGAAGGGCCACCCGCGACCCGGTCGCCCGTGACCCGCAGCGCCAGACGAGGCGCCGAGGCGCTGCTGCGAAGCAGCCGCCACCCGCCGGCCTGCACCACCACCATGTCGCTCGACGCCACGCCGTCGTCGCTGGCCTACTCCGGAGCGCCGCCGCACCGCTACACCCGGCACGAGCGCGGCATCCCCACCGGCGAGATCCGGCCTGCGCCGCACCCCCCGCGCAAGGAGACGAGATGGTCCCGCCGCCGCCGGCGACGACCGGGCTTCGCCCGCTCGTGCCCCTTGGCGGCGGCGAGGGAGGAGAGAGAGAAGGGGGGTGGCGGCGGCGGTGCTAGGGTTGCCCCCCGGACGGCCGCGGGAGCGTCGCGGGAGGGGAGGGGAATGCTCCCACCGTAGATCCCGTTCACCTCACAGATTGAACCAATTGCATCGACTAATAAACTTCCTTCTTTTCATATTTGAGTTCATGTATTTTCTTTGGATCTTTGGTGGATGACCTTGGTAATTTGGCAAGCTCTCTCACCTGGGACCAGAAACTCGCTCAAAAACCATTTTGATACCAAGTATTTTTCTTAGGGTTTATCTTTAACCCTAAATCCAAATACTGAAAACCCTAAATTATATATCTGGCCACTATAAAGGAAACTTCATTTCTTTTGATCCTAAGATTCTCCAAATATTATCAAAGCCTCTAAGATATATATCGAAGTCCACTTCTAAAAAATATTGCCATGACATTATGAAATGTCTCTCTAAATTCAACATTCCATTTGTAGCCATTATTGGCTCATAAATCCCAATATATCTTTCCATGTGTCCAACAATCATGAAACTTGGTGGACATGATCTTTGTGCTCACATTGTTATCCACTAAATTTCGTGGCTCGATTTGAGTTAGAAAAATAATATTTCCCCATTTTAAGAAATACTCATTTGATATCCATTGCAAAGGTAATCCTGAGACCATGTCCCTCTCCCTTCATGGTGGTAGCAAGGTCTGCCTCCTTCTGATCAATTTCGACCAATGCACGGCAACCCGAAACCTCTTGGTTTGCTAGGATGCGATTGGGTGCGCGTTGATCCCCCTCTTCACAACGAACAAAGCAAGCTTTTCAGTGCCATTTGTATAGAGCTCACCCAGGGCTTTACTACCCTGGGTTTTCCCTCCCCAACAACCAAACAAGTCCCAAGGGGCCATACCTGCACCTCAGAATTCAAAAAGTCAGCATGTAGCCATGCATGATACTCCCTCCGTTCCCAAATATAAGTCTTTCTATAGATTCCAACAAGTGACTACAGACGAAGCAAAATGAGTGAATCTACACTTTAAAATATGTCCACTTACATTCGTATGTTGTAGTCCATTTGAAATGTCTAAAAAGACTTATATTTAGGAATGGAGAGAGTAAAAAAGTTTTCCGTTCTATTATACCAGTTATATTTAATAAACATTTTACAACTATACAACAAATATACTAAATCATACTCCCCTTGAGAATTGTATATAAACACAATAACTCATATGAGAGGTTGTATACATATGAGTAATCATTTTTTAAAGTAATGAAAGGTTGTATACATATTATTACTTGAAACATTTTACTCTTATTATAAAGTAATAATATGTTATATTCAGTTTCAATTCTCATATTATTACTTTAAAACACAATAACTCATATGAATACAACCTTTCATTGAAATATATCACAACCAGTTTGCACAGCAACGCAAGAAGTATTGTCTAGTTAACATAGACATTCAGTTCATTATACCAACTAGCACAATTCTAGATGTATATTCTGCGAACATTGTAGGGAAAAACTTTTCATGGCCTTTTAAATGGAGGGCTTACTGCACGAGTACACCTGAACGGCTAGGCCAAGTGAACCCCACCAACTGACCAACCTGTTATCGTGTATTTTCATATTTCTGCATAGTTCCTCTGTAGCAAAACAGATTAAATGCAATTTGTACACTGACGAATAAATAAACAATAGTAGAGGGCACCCAGACTAAAGCACTAAGCATCGGAAAATACAGAAAAAAGAGAGATTGTTTATTATTCATGTAACAAGATGTGAGAACGCAAGAACCAAGGTCTTCAGCAAGCGTCACAAGCAAAATATAGGCCTACGGTAGAAGCAAGTGGCCAATCCAACTGCTTCAGCAATGCTGCATGGTATAATGATGGTTTGTTATCCAGCACGGTTGCCCATGCTTGCAACATTATCAGTACTCAGAACTCTGACGGCGTGATAACGTCATCGATCTTGAGTATCATCTTAACAACCTGCGTTGCCAACAATATCTGTTGTTGCTTGCCAATCAGGGTTTCAAAGACGTTCTGTTCTCTTATCGTTGGTCCCGACGTCATTGCAGTCGATGCCACAGTAGGGATTGTTCTCCTGCAGAGGTGGTAACCGGTCAGAATCACATGCATGTTACTCAAATGTGAAACGAGACATCCAAATCAGCTTTTAATCACAGCATTAAATATGCTGCATTGACGGCATCAAGCAGTAAAATTGGTAGGATGTGCAAGCACATACTGTAGTGTGTGCCTTGGCCTCGAGTAACACTTCTGTATCACAAGTACAATAACACTAGGATTTGCGCACAGACTCATCCGACTCGAAGTACAAGGACGAGTGACGTTTCATTGAATCATCAAGAACAAATATTGCTACCTATTAGAAGAGCAGACTGGGGAGTAAGGCAACAGAACCATAATACCTGAATTTGCTGAGATTTTACCGCAGTCAACGTATCAATAGGTGGCAAACCACTGTTTTCAGCCAAGGCTAGTGGAATCCCATCCAGCGCATCAGCAAACGACCTAATTGCATACTGCAAGTACAAAGAACATGATGAAACGATATTGCATCTTGTTGCAACTTAGCTGTTGAAACTCAGCAGTTACCTGCTCGGCTCCAGCATATCGATCTGCTGCAGCTTCGACAGCAACAGAGCAAGATATCTCAGCTGAGCCGCCACCATAAACAATAGAGTTATTGCGGATCAGATTTCTAGCCACACACAGAGCGTCCTGAATACTTCACTTGGCCTCCTCAATCATCATTTTGTTGCCTGCATGGTAGCTGCTGGCTTTATCATGGAAACTCCAAAAGCAATTTATCTTTTAGCTAGTGCACATATTGAAAATCAATACTAGCGGTGACAATCAATCATTTTCTACTTAGCATAGTTGGTTGGGTTGCTACAGTGAGGTCTTAGAACCCTACAATTCTTCAAGGAAAAGCAACACACAGCTCGATGGTGCATCATACAATCATGATGATATGAACAGTATATGAATATTTTGTACTCATTCTACAAATCCAGCTGGTTATGTATGACAAGGTACTCTCAAACTATGATCTGATAATGTACCCAACACAACGATGGGTCATAGGACCAAGTACTCACAAATTATGACCTAATTAAAAACCAATAGTATCATAAAAATTGTATTCATAATGGGGAAGTGAATGTTACAAAGAAATTTCTCATATATTTCAGTGCACAATTTGCCATTATGCAAGATTAATAACTAAAATTATGCAAGTACACTAGATTTGACAATTGGGTGCGGAACAGTGAAAACTGTCACGTATCTGGATACTGCCAACACTGGTAAAATTGTCTGCACTGTATGCACTGGCAGAGCCACGGCAAGGCTGAATGGGCCGTGGCCCGCCCAGCACAGGAGAAAAAAAATATACCTAGCCAGCCCACAACACAACACATAGCAATAACAGGTATCAGCCCAGCCCCAGCGAAACTGCCTCACACCATACCACAAATAAGGACGCGCAGCAGTCAGCAATGGTGCAGCCGCCCGCTGTCAGCCCACACAGACAGCCGCCGCTCACCGACACACCGCACACTTCAGCCGCCTCCCAGCCAGTTGGCCGGTTCACGAGGCCACGACCCACAGGCCACTCAGCTAGCAGTCTGAATCCTTGTAAGCTGGCTCACAGGTGAATGATTTCTATGAATCATCTCCAATTTCCTTCTCCTAAATTCGACTGAGGTTGTCGTCTATTCGTGTGGTAGCATAAATAATTCACTGGAGATATGTTGTTTAAATTCTATGCGAAGGCATTGTTATAGATTTTAAAAGGACAAATGATTGAAACCAATTTGTAGTATGTGACTCAATATCTGATGTCTTCAAAAACTCCTGTAATGACTAACAAAAATAGTCTAATGAAACTGTATTTTGGTATAGCTTTTCTTTTATATATTTGTACTCATTTGATCTTGTAAAAATGGAACAGAAGGTACTGATGAATGCCGATGATTCAAAAGTTGGAAAAACATTTGCCGTTCTTTAGCTTGGCCCACCCAACAATTTGTTTCTAGCTCCGCCACTGACTGTATGCAACACAAAAGTATCTCAACTATATGGACAGATTGATCACTGATTGGTTGAAGGTACAAGCACAGATGACCTAATAAAGGATGTGGAGATATGCACATGCGAACATGAAGGAAGAGATATTATCCATTGGAACATACCGCCACGGATGAAGATAGTTACAGCTCTGGAATTTGCACATCTCTCAATGCAAAGCATTCGATCCTTTGTTGTTCCAAATGACTTCTCTCTAACCAAGCCAGCCTGTTTCAGCAAAGTATGCAGATAAGCAAACCACATGAGATACAAGTAGTATGGTATAGTTTTAAACAAAGCATAATTATATTACGATTACTTTCAAGAATATGTTACTTTTGCATGGTATCTTGATGGCAAACATCCTCATTGCTAGGTGCTGAAGGAACGCATTGATTACACCAGAGAGAAGTGGCAACCCTACTCAACTACCAAGAAACACGTAAAGATTAACATTGTTGAGCATTCAATTTTTAGTTTATTGTCCTGAGGTCAATCAAGTCACCCTCACAAACCGACATGCGGCTAATTAAAGTCGGCGGACATCTTAACAATTACTGGACATTGTATAGAGGCTGAGTCAATTAATTCGGATCGGAGGGAGTATCACTTATCTGTTTTAACTTCTTAAATTGTTCGATACACTTATACTATTAAGAAATAATAGAAAGTATGTAACTACGTATACAACAAAAACTCCCACAAATTAATAGCTAGTCTCCGCATATGCTCTGTAGTCTCAGCTACTTAAGATTTCACATACTTGGGGTTCTAAAATTAGACACCCGACTATACAGCCTGCACCAATCCATGCATATTTAATATTACTTGGGTACATTATCAGAAAAAATTATTCCTTGTGTACAAAAAGGAGCACAAAACCAGTTGTACCTGCCCAAGCTTATCAGGAGTCAACTCTTGGAATCTTGGAACAATACGTCCCCCTGCAGTCAGTTTTCAAATGTTAGATAGTGTATTTATAAGACATTCGGGTTCACAAGGAGAGGTACTCATATCAACCTGTAGCTATGGCAATCAATTCCAATTCAACACCACCAACCCATCTCACAGCGGGCAGATTTCTTTGCATAAGCAAATGATTGGCTTCATCATCAAAACCCCACTGACAGATAACTAAGGTTGCACCAACATCCTGCAAGTGTTTACAAACAAATCTTTAAGTACTTATATTAAGAAATCAACAATGATACGATGCAAAGTAAAAAAAACTTTGCGCAAAATCATGACTTTGCCCTACTATAAAATACATTGAAATTTTGTAGGCCTTTACCTTGCATTTCTGAACCATTTCATCAAAGTATTTTTGCTCTTGTCCACGCATCGTCTGGAATTTTTCTACAGTGTCAATGTCAACCTTATGCTTTGTCTTGGGCTTTGGGGGCTCAAATGGGCAGGTAAGGATGGCAATATTAGCATCCTCGATTCTCTTTGGCATTTGTGGGTGGCTCATATCTTTGTCAACAGCGATTCCGTATATTAGCTCAGTGTCCTCTAGCTTCCCACCAACTTTACCATCTACTTTAATCAAGTCCAAGTTTACATCCTTCCTTTCCAAATCAGCAACAGCAAGGACTGCCCTGACAGCAATCTCAGCAAGCATCCGCTTACAACGGTTAACACTGCAGTTTAAGAATGACGGGTCCAATTAGACAAACGGAGAGAAATATAAACTGAATCTACCCTGCTTCCTAGCAGATCAAAACATTGGTTACATAACTGAGAAGTTAAGAGTGAATATCTTCGACTTACATCTTTGAGGACAGAGTTGTCATGCAGGTCTGCACCAAGGGCTCTATATTTGCAGCAGTGAACTCAAACCTAGTGGAGATATGTTCGAGGTGATCAAAAGCTATCTTGGAAGCCATTTCATATCCTTCGGCAATTCTTATCGGTTGAATACCACGCTCTAGCAGTTTCTCAGCTTGTTCCAGGAGCGACCCTGCCAGGACCACCACCCCAGTAGTACCATCCCCGATTTCATAGTCTTGACTACGGGAAAGCTCCACCATAAGCTTTGCAATCTGGTTGTCAACATCCATTTGCTCCAGGATCGTCGCTCCGTCATTTGCTAAAAAATCATAAGGGAGGTAATTATTCAGAAACCCGAACTTCCCTTATTTTATTATAGGAATAAAATCAAAGTAATTTCCAACGGAACTAACAGCCCTACAGACATCTAGAACTCTGGACAGATACTGCGTAGCACACACCAAAATCCCTAGCCCTCGAAGAAACCGATGCAAGGGCCAGATCGCATGCGAGAACCTTAAGTTTTCCCGCAAAGAAAAAAGAACAGGTGAGGCTAAGATCAGGAAGCAGAGCGGGGAGGGGAGTGAGAGAGTGCGGTGGAGCAGTTACTGATGGTGACGTCGCCGTCGGGGGACTGGAGAATCTTGTCCATGCCCTTGGGGCCGAGGGAGGTGCGGAGGCTGCGCGCGACGGCCTTGCCGGCGGCGACGTTGGCCTTGTGCGCGTCGAGCCCCCGCAGGCGGGACTTGCTCTCCTGCTCCCTCAGGATGATGAAGGGCCGTCCGAAATCGTCGAACGCCAGCGCCATGGCCGGCGCCGCCGATGGACGGGACGCGCGCGCGGCGCTTCTAGAAGGGTCGGATCGCACCGGGGGAGGAGGAGGCGGCGCGAGGGCGGCAAGCGGGCGTACCGGCGATCTTTGTCAGGCTTAGGCAAAAAAAAAACTTCACGAAACATCCAAAAGGATATGGGCTTCATCAATGGATGTGTGGGCCGGGCTGGATAGATGGGCTGGCCTTTTCTATCCCACGAATAAAACCCGAAACCGTTGCTAAAAGGGGGAAAAAACTCATAACCGTAGACGAGATATGCGCGTCGGAGACCCACGTCACCATCCCACGAATCTGTTTGAAGAACTTTTGAAGCGACCGGTCCACCTGCCCCGTCATCAGCGTGTTTTCTTCCTAAACTACCCTTGTACCTTCGCTGCCAAGCATGATAAGTGTTACACCGACTACACGCTTGCGTGGGAGCTAACGCATGCTTGATTTACTTTATTTTGGAATTTACACATCTTGCTCCGTAGACCATATATGTAGCCTGATTCATTCTCCAAACTGAGCCTCTCTCTTTTTTTCTGCGGGGAACTGAGCCTGGGTACTGTACTATTGTGTCTACACAGACAAAAATCTCATTAAACCACAATAGTGTGACTGAACAATCGACAAAATTGGGGTACAAAAGAAGACCCCGCGTCGATCTCAAGCGAAAAATCTAATCGTCGCCGCAAGCGACACATGTCATTAGGCAAAGCCCACTGGCGGGTCGACGCTGGCGGTTGACGGTTACTGGATTTGTTTCTCACGCGAGCGTTGCTCTGGGCGCGCCCCTCTCGGTGGAGTTGTTCGCCACGGTGACCGACCTTGGTTCGTGGGATTGCCCTTGGAGTGTTGCTCTGGCGAATGTTGAGGAGGCTAGGACGAGAGGCGATGTGGGGGCTTAGCGTAGCCACGTGCGGCAACGCCTAGTAACTGCTCCGCCCGATGGTGAGGTGGTCCTATGCTTCGTGGTGTCTATGGCGTGGCCTAGGCGGTGGTTCCTGGTTATGATGCACTTGGCCTTGGCCCAAATCTGGTTTGTGCTGGCGGTTGGTTGCAGTTTCTCGGGTGGTGGTCTCGGACTTGGTGGTGGCAGCTTCGGCCACGGGGCGGTGCATGTATGGGCGTGGCGGGTCATGGGACCCAGCGGACAAAATTGGAGTTGGCTTGAGGCATGGTTCGGTGGTTAGAGGGTTTGCGGTGGGCGATGTCCCGGTGTAGGGCAGAAGGTGGTCGAGGCATCTCAAGGAGAAATCCTCTTTCCACCTCCTTCAGATCCAGCGATGACGGCGCCCACGAGTAGCGTGGTCTTCTTGGAAGCGCCGTTATGGAGATGTTCTCATCACTCTCCCCACATTCTTGGCTTTGAAGAGAAACCTCGTATTCTCTGAATCATGTGATAGATGTGTATTCGCGTCTTTCTCCTCCTTGGGGGCATCATCTTGAAGCCGGCTATGACTAGAAAACCGATGGTTGGCAGCGGCTTGTCTGTGTGGTTTGTTGAGATTTAGGGCGTCAACGTCTATTCCGGCAACGATGATGGTGTCGATATGAGTTTGGGTCGCCGCTCGAGTCTGGTAGTGGCCTTTTTCTAGCGTGCTTGATGTGTTATTTCGTAGTTTGCTTGGTTGTTGTGGAGTCATGGCTGTAGTGGAATGTGTCCATGTGGTGACGATGACATGCACTCAACATTTGGTGGCTTACCCTCATCACCGTCGTGGCACACAACCGATGTGGTCGTAGCACGCGGACGTTGTGGTCCAAGCTTAGCCACTTGCGGATTACAATATTGTCGGGGGCGCGGTCTGAGCATATCCAACTGATGGCCATAGCGTCGCATGTGGCGATCCCACCATACCCGCCTGTCTATCATAGGATTGAGGGGTGCAGGATCCTAGCATATCCATCTGCTGGGCATAGTGCAGGGTCCCAACATCATCGGGGCATGGTCTCAACATCCCATTTGCGCATCGTAGCATCGCGGAGTGCTGGTCCCAGCTTCCCCATCTTCCTGTCGTAGCATCTTGTGGTGCCGGTCACAGCTTCCCCCATGACAACTATGGCTCGTAGGCAGAAACGAGATGAAGAAAAAAAACGCAGGCCAGGTCAGGAGGATGTGGTTGGGATGGGGTCCTGCGCTGGAGGTGGGGTGACCATTGACGACAGAATCTGCGTGGCCGTGGAGGATTCGTGTGTTGGGGAAGAAGATTGGGTGATGCCGGGAGAAGAATAATGTGACACAAATGGGAATGAGAAGAAGATAGGGGCACAACGGGTGGCATGTGTGTGGAGAGGGAGAGAAAAATGACGCGTGTAGGGACAATTGGGAGGAGACTGGCGCCAAATCGAGATCATTTACCAAAAGTATACTACTAGAAAACTTACTTCCTCATGACACATGCTGAGTTTTCCATTCGCAAAAAGGCATTTGCTGTTCATTTCTTTCATGCACTAATAAAACTATTTAGGTTAATTATAAGCTTAAAAAGTAACTATTCAGTTTTAGAAACTACTCAAACTAGCTAAATGTCCGTGCGTTGCCACGGATTAACAAATATATATATACAAAGAGAAAATTCATGTGACATGAGAGTCAAAGGTCATTTCTATGGGATGATATCTCATGGTCATGATCTAGTAGATACATACATCTCATCATTGTCTTTTTTCCACACTCCATGTCTGAGCTACCACGCGACATTCGACTTCCTTCTCCCACCATGCATGCTTTTATCTCCTATTTCTCCTACCTTTACCTTACACGACAGTACCAAGTTTCTTGTCCAACTATCATAATCTTCTCCGGTAGGGCACCCCCTTAGATTATTACTGACTTGTACATGTTGCAAATAAGATCAACGAAAATGGATACTAAATTTCTGATGAGAAATGAGAATTCAGGGCAATATCTTCCCAAGACAATAATAATTTCAAGACAATCTTTTTATACCTTCTGTCAACATTGGGACACACATTCCACACAATAAGCATGCAATGATGTTGATACTTGATTAATTGTCATTATATGTCTACAGTAAAGATAACTTTACTCAAAACCGCCTATCTTAGCCAAATCAACAAATCTCTCTCATTAATGCAATTTTCTTTAGAAAACAAATAATAGATTCTTGCCTATCTTAGCCAAATCAACGGATCTCTTTCATTAATGCAATTTGCTTTAGCAAACAAATAATAGATTCTTTCCTATCTTAGCCAAATCAACGGATCTCTCCCATTAATGCAATTTGCTTTAGCAAACAAATAATAGATTCTTTCCTACCTTAGCCAAATCAATGGATCTCTCCCCGGTTCGCTGGGCGCGTTTCGGTGGGTGGGCGTGGGGGTGGGGGTAATTTGATGGAAATAAACCGGTTGAAAATAAACCGGTTGAAAATAAACGGATCCTGTCTCACTCTTCACTTTCTTTACAATAAACTTCAGAATAGCAATCTTGGCGAGTGATCTCGACGGGGTTCAATCGGCGTGGCGCACCGCTGATTCTTCCAGGAGTGGGTGCTGAGAGGAAGGATCCCAAACCTCCATTGTCAATCGGCCAGAGCTGCATCGTCCTTTGGATCAGAGCGTGGACGAGATCAAGACGGTAGGGTTTGAGGAATTTGTAGGACATGAGGGTTTATGGTTGGCAGCACGAGAACTCACCCATATCTTGGCAGACGGCAGGTCCGAGGTGCGGTCGTGTTCATGCTTCGGGAGCTGCCACATGCTGTCCTCGCCGCCATCAGCGACACCACCGCCATCGCCTGTTGCCACCACTTCAGCGCCACGAGCGTGGGACCGAGGGACGAAGGGAAGGGAAGGAAGTGAATTGACATACCTATGTTTGGTATATATCACACGAGGAATCAAAACTGGATGCACGTGAAAGCATAGAGATGGGAGAGGAGGACAGAGGAAGGGAAGGGCAAGAGGAACCTGAGGATGTGCGATGAAGGAGCGATGCCAAAACATCACAAAGGGGGACCCGTAGCTCGTCACGTAGCACGGCCGCCTCATTGCCGGCTGCCACCCCGCGCTACCGCCTCCGTGCGCAGGTTCCATTCGTGGAGCGTGAGGAGCGCATGACCTGCCTTCACCGCGGCCTGGTCCTCCCCACTATCGTGAAGCTCGCCCGCATCGCCGCCCCAATTGCTCAGGATGACGGATGAAGATCCTGCAACAGCGACGTGGGTGAGGGATGCATCCGACGATGGAGGGATGATTTTCGTGGCTAAACCCTCCCTATCAAAATAACTACTTAAAAAAGGCAAAGATCGATGCATTAGGAAAATTAGGATTTGGAATTGATTGTCATAAAACAAAATTTTATTAATTGATAATGTGCTATCGGTACATGCCCGTTTATAACGTGTCTAGTTAGGAAACTTTGGAAAAGTTAGGAAAGTTTTTATTGTGAGGGTAAAAAAATCAATGTGAGGAGATATGGTGGTGGGATATGAGACGAAAATAAACCAGACGAAATATAACCAGACGAAAATAAACCGTGGACGCAATCCTACCAACTGCTCCATTAGGAGTAGAGATTTAAAATTTTGGTGACCAAAGCCGCGACTTGGACTCTTCTTTCTTTTGCGTTTGGCGACTTGGAAAGTTGGAAATATCGTGAGGGGTGAAACTGGCAATTAAAGGGTATGTCTAGGGCACATTTAGATATACTCTAATTATTACACATCTAAGTGAGTGAATCAAGCAAAAAGGAAAAAAGAAAAAAGAGAAAGAAAATATTCACACGAATCTCAATGTAAAATCAATGACATATAATTTAGATATGCAATACTTATGGCACATCTAGATGTACTTTAGGCTAGTCATAGTGGGAGTAACTTAGCAAGTAACATAACGCACTTCGAGAAATTTTTGCTTATGTAACATGTAGTTAATGAGAAGTGGTAACATAATATGTTACTGTAACATAGCATTTTTCAAGACAAGATGAGTCTACAAGCTAATTAATGAAGTCTTCTATGACACTACTACTATGTTACTTTACATTATGAAGATAATAATTTAGACTAGTGTCATATATGTATGACACTAGTACTCCCTCCGTCCGGGTTTATTAAGCCTAAAGACAACTTCTCTTAGACCAAGACACATAGTAATTTGCTCACATTAATTATTCCATTCCACTCCCAATGCACTCTCTCACATGCATGCAGCCAATGAAAAAGCACACATGAAGTGTATTAACTTTTCAGCCATGGCACCAACAACAATAGCTTTCAATACAACCAATGAAATGGTTGCATGCATCCACCTTTCCAATGCGGGGCCTTATAAAAGGGGACATACTTGTGATGCTGAGAGGCCTAATAGATCCGGACGGAGGGAGTATAAGTTACTCCCGTTATGACCAGCCTTAGCAAAACCGGCAGTTAACATACAGGCCGACGAAGCCGATTCTCAATTTCCACGACAGCAACGCCTCTCTGCTTCCTTCGTCCGCAGGGCCTCTCGCGCAGCAGCGAAGCGCCATCTCTCCCCCTCCCCCTTCCCGCGCCTTCTAGAACCTTCCACTCCAACTGCCGGGGCTGCGCAGATGGCGACCATGGAGAACGTGATCGTGCTCGTGAACCGCATCCAGCGCGCCTGCACCGTGCTCGGCGACCACGGCGGGGACGGCGCCGCCGCCTCCCTCCCCGCCCTGTGGGAGGCGCTGCCTTCCGTGGCCGTCGTCGGAGGGCAGGTACTCCCACCTTCGGTCGCCTGTGCTCGCCCCGCCTAGGGTTTTCGTTTCGTGGCTTAATTACCGTGACGCCTGGGTTTGATTTTTCTGCGCCCGGTTGCGTTCGTACGTGCAGAGTTCGGGGAAGTCGTCCGTGCTGGAGAGCATCGTTGGGCGTGACTTCCTCCCTCGAGGCTCTGGTATGGCAGCGAATCCCGCGTCCGGCTCCGACTATTCGAGCTTTTGTGCCGTTTGTTTTGATTGTTTAATTTCGCGGTTGTGCGTTGTGGTTCGAAGGGATCGTGACGAGGAGGCCACTGGTTCTGCAGCTGCACAAGACGGAGGTCGGGGAGCAGGAGTACGCCGAGTTCCTGCATGCACCAAGGCGTCGGTTCACCGATTTCGGTGAGCTCTCTCTGTGCCCGTAATGGATGCCTGATTAGGGGGTTATTCAGGGGTTATGCTTCAAGTAAACACTAGTAGTAATGGATGCCTGATTTTTTAATGCCCGATTTCGGTGAGCTCTCTCTGTGCCCGTAATGGATGCCTGATTAGGGGGTTATTCAGGGGTTATGCTTCAAGTAACTACTAGTAGTAATGGATGCCTGATTTTTTAATGTCTACTGTGATTTGCTGTGCTATTAATAAGTGCAGTGGAATAATATATCTATATGTACCTGCACCTGCACCAGAAGTTGTATTGCTCAATACAAGCTACATATGTGTGATAATATTCAGGCTGTGGGCACTTGATGATGCACTGGCTGTGGAGTGCTATTATATAAAAAAATGTGTGGTTTTATCTATTGCTTATCGATATGGTTGTAATCTTCTACTCCACAAGGATGGGTCAGGTGCAATGGGGAGTTTTTTAGGTAAAGTTCTATGGTCACTCTCTCTAGTCTCCACCCTATGTGGATAGCTCAGACTACATTATGCACTTGACTGTGTTGCTAAGTGTTTAAGACTTTTCCATCAGTGATTCAATGAGTAGGTGTTAATGCTGAGACTGGCAGATTTAAACGATTTTATTTGACCAACCTGCGTCTGGTGCTACCAGTTCAAGTGTTATGTGTTTTTGATCAGGCTGATTTGCATATGGCCACATGTATCCAAAAAACATCACACACATCCATCCTTCAGAAAAAAAATGATGCCTGAAATGAATTTGGAATAGCTGAAGTATTTTCATTACTGGGAGGCAACTCAAGTTGATCAGATGCTTATTCTGTACATGCTGTTTGTCTGTTTTCTGCAGCTCTTGTGCGCATGGAAATCGAAGATGAAACTGATAGATTGACGGGGAGATCAAAACAAATATCTCCAGTCCCTATTCATCTCAGCATATACTCACCAAACGGTATTATACGTTGGACATAAGTGCATAACTTAGTGCTACATTGATGGAGAATATTGCTGCTGGTATTTACTAAATATAAATTTCCAGTTCCATTTTATATGAATATCACTGTAACTTCTCTGTTTGACAACAGTAGCCATGTATCTCTGATTTCATTCCTTTTTCATGGTGGTGTTTATATAGAGATCTTAGTTTATAAACAATAGCATTCATGCAGCTCTTGCATCTTCTTGGATCTTAATCTTTTTCCGGAGGGGTATTACTTCTACATTTTCTTGATAAGTCATTTATTCTACTCAATTGGCTATTGCAGTTGTCAACTTAACATTGATTGATCTGCCGGGTCTAACTAAGGTTGCTACCGGTATGCCAATGTCTATTTTTTTTCACATTTTCTGATCTAGGCAATGTTCACAAGGAATTTTCATTCACCATGTTGTCATCTCTTTTCAGAGGGGCAGCCTGAAAGCATTGCCCAGGATATCGAAAACATGGTGCGCTTATATGTTGAGAAGGTACTGCTATTGCTTCAATGGGGTGCACTTGACATACATAAGATGTGCATGTTGATATTTACCTATGGAGTGACACATTCCTATCTTCTTTTGTAGCCAAACTGTATTATACTTGCTATATCTCCTGCCAATCAAGATATAGCAACATCAGATGCCATTAAGCTTGCTCGGGATGTTGATCCAAGTGGTATGAACCAAAATTCTGCACTTATTTTGTTGTGATCTACTAATTCTATTATCTGATGGTACAATCCTTCAGTATGATGTTGAATAACTACGTATGTACTTATGTTTTATACGCCTATCAATGTCACAACTCATCATATTTGCTGATGTCATTTGCTTCAAAGATTTTAGCACTATGGATGTTCAACATGAAAAATAACAAAACAACATCTTTTCGGTGGAACCGATACATAACTTAGCAAGTATTTGGTTTTAACTCCAGATTATTGTGGTCGATTAATGATTACTGAGCCATGTGCGATGTACATTTCACTCCAATGGCTTAGACTACTGATTCTCTTGTCTAATATTTTATGACCTGTTCACATTTGATTGATATTCTCCCCCACTGTGACAAAATTATCTGTTTGATGCATCTACCATATTTTCTTGCCTATTAATAAAAGCGTACTTTATAAAAAAACATATTTCTTGCCTGAGGGATCATTTTAAATTTTCATAGGTGAAAGGACCTTTGGCGTGTTGACTAAGCTTGATTTGATGGACAAGGGAACAGATGCACTTGATGTATGCTTCTACTTTACTTTTTTCTGTGAATTTTGGGCTTATTAAGGACCTAATAATGCCCAATACTTGTTCTTCTCGCTAAGGTTCTTGAAGGAAGAGCTTACAAGCTACAACACCCATGGGTTGGAATTGTTAACCGCTCACAAGCAGATATCAACAGGAATGTTGACATGATTATTGCTAGGGAAAAAGAACAAGAGTTCTTTCATTCTAGTCCTGAATATGCTCATTTAGCCAGCAGGATGGGTTCAGAATATCTTGCTAAACTTCTTTCACAGGTTCGAAACATCCTTCTAGTGTTTTTATTCTTGTTCTTTGTAAGGTAGCAATGGTCTCATCATGCAATCCTGTTTTTTATCTCTCAGCAACTCGAGGCAGTTATTAGGGCACGCATTCCAAGCATCACATCTTTGATAAACAAAACTATTGATGAGCTTGAATCTGAGATGGATCACCTTGGTAGACCTATTGGATCAGACGCTGGGGTAATCAATGAAACTTTTGAGCTAAATTGCATTGGACTCAAACAGACATATGTAACACCATTCATGTACTTGTGCAGGCTCAGTTATATCTAGTCCTGGAGTTGTGCCGTGCGTTTGACAAAATATTTAAAGAACATCTTGATGGAGGGTAAGTTCCATTTTGATTATTTCATGTCTTTATTTTTCTTGGTTATAATCTGTAACGTGGATATTGAAATATGCAGACGACCTGGTGGTGATCGAATTTACTGGGTCTTTGATAATCAACTCCCTGCTGCTCTGCGGAAGCTTCCATTTGATCGCCACCTCTCCTTGCCAAACGTTAAACGAATTGTGTCACAAGCTGATGGTTATCAGCCTCATTTAATTGCTCCTGAGCAAGGTTACCGTCGACTGATAGAGTCTGGTCTCAGTTATTTTAGAGGGCCAGCTGAAGCTTCTGTAGATGCTGTAAGATTTCTTCTTCCTGTGGTTGCTTGCTTTGCCATGTTTCTTCCACTAAGTCCCCTTTTATCATCACTTTAGGTGCATAATGTCCTGAAAGAGCTGGTAAGGAAATCAATTGGGGAGACTGAGGTTTGTTTTCTTGTACACTTCAACTCCAACTTGCCACTTAAAAATTTTGTAAGTTATGTATTTACTGTAGTGATATTGTTTCACTAGGAACTGAGAAGATTTCCCACTCTTCAAGCGGAGCTTGCTGCTGCATGCAACAAAGCCCTGGAGAGCTTCCGTCAAGAGGGCCGTAAAACTACTGTGCGATTGGTCGATATGGAGTCAGCGTATTTGACGGTCGACTTCTTCCGCAAGCTTCCACAGGAGGTGGACAGGGCTGGAACTGGATACCCTGTGGACAATGCTGGAACTGGACCTTCCACTCCTGTTGATCGGTACTCTGACGCGCACTTCAGGAGGATTGCTTCTAATGTGTCCTCGTACATTGGCATGGTATCGGACACACTGAAGAATACTATTCCCAAGGCTGTTGTTCACTGCCAAGTCCGGGAAGCCAAGCGGTCCTTGCTGAACTATTTCTATATTCAAGTGGGCAGTAAAGATGTAGGTGTCTTCTTTTGTTGTCTAAATATGTTCATTCCTTATCCTTTCAGTTGTCTCAGTGATCAATTTCCTGTGTAGGCTAAGCAGCTCGCGCTACTCCTTGATGAGGATCCTGCTCTTATGGGGCGCAGGCAGCAATGCTTTAAGAGGCTTGAGCTATACAAGTCAGCAAGGGATGAGATTGATGCCGTGTCATGGTCGCGGTGAAGGTAACATACCATGTGCTTGTAATATACTTGCTACCTTAGTTCAACTCATGTTGTTTTGAGAAATGCCGAATTAGCAGTCGGTTAGTCTGGACTATTGTTGTCAAATCTCAGCTGACAGATCAGTTACCTTGCTGTAAATAACTCCTAGTCTTTTTTTCACTGTGTAATTCCGAGCTATTAGTATGAATATAACAGTTTTGTGTGACTACGGATATGAAATTTACAGACTTCTAAGTAGAAGTACTAGTTCTGGTACTTCTTAGTAGGATGCATGTGATCTTTGACAATCTGTATGCGGAGTTCTCAGCATAAGTAATGATCTTTCACCATCTTTGTGCATACTGATGCATATGCTCATTTATTCTCAACTCTCAAGCCCTGAACTCCCCTTTCAAAGAAAGAGCGCCTATTTCGTTTCCAGACTGTATACTATGGCATTTAGGCTTACAGGCCATTTTGCCCCTTTTGTGCTTCCTTCAGTTGTGGGACCTTCAGAGTTCAGACCATTCATACCTGCTGTTGGTAACCGTTCTGGCCCGGCCTGATACATTATAATAGTCCTCTTGTCAGGAGATTATTACTGCAACTAGATTTAGTTTTGGGGCGCTTTGTTTCCAGGTTCAGACAAGAGCCGCCCTAAAGAAAATCTTAGACAAGAGCCTTCCCGGTAAATCATACATGCACTTTCGTCTGCGCATTCTTGGCACAACTCAACCTGCATGTAATGTAAGGCCTGCCTACCGATCTGATAATTTGTTAACGGTGGCTTTTTCAATACTCCAGAAGAGGAACCTGAATTAGACGAGTCTGGTCAAGTTACAGGTTATTTTGTTCTTGTAGCAATGGTTCCACAGGATACAAATCGCTCATATTTTTTCTGGTCACCTACTCATCTTTTGTAGACTTGAATTTGACTCTGCAGTACTCTAGTATGTTGAACTGACTTTTGGTTTCTTTGGTGATTCTTCACCTGGTATTTAGTCCACGCTTTCTAAAGCTATGATTTTCTTTCCCGTCGATCTTTCACGAGAACCCTGCATAGAACATATCTTCTATTACAGCAAATTGACAAAGACACTTTTGTGCCAAGAGAAGTATCATTGTTGATGACACATCTCCCCCCCTTTTGGTTTCTGGTACTTTTAGTAGGATTCATATGTTTATTTAGGCCCTGTTTGGAATCTCTCCACTCCGCGGAGTTGGGGAGCTCGGTTTTGGCAGCTCCGTCAAAGTGAGCTGTAGTCTGGTCCGCTCCGGGAGCAGAGTCAGAGAAGTGGAGAGGAACCGAACTCCCTTATTCTCAACTCTCAAGCCCCTACCCCTTCTTTCAGAGAAAGCGCACCTATTTCTTTTCCAGCCTATAAGCCATGGCATTTAGACTTTCTGCTTCTTTTAGTTTTCAGACCTTCAGAGTTCAGACCATTCGTTACCTGCTATTGCTAACTGTCCTGGCCTTACTAAAAGAGAAAAGGTAACCGTCCTGGCCTGGCCTGATACATATTGTCCAGTGGTGCTCTTGTTAGTTTTGGGGCTCTTTGTTTCCAGGGTAGACAAGAGCCTCCTGGTAAATCATATATGCAGTTATGCACTTTCGTCTACACATTCTTGGCAGAACTCAATCTGCATGTGTTGTATATAAGGCCTGCCCACGGTCTGATAATTTGTTATCTGTAGCTTTTCAATTCTCCAGAGACGAGTCAGGTCAAGTTTACTACCGGTTCTTTTGTTCTGGTAGTATTGGTTCCACAGGATACAAATCGAGCATATCTTTTCTTGCCACCTACTCATCTTCAGTAGACTTGACTTTGACTCTGCAGTATATGCTAGTATGTTGAACTGACTTTTGGTTTCTTCGGTGATTCTCCACCTGGTATTTGCTACGGACTGCACGTTTTCTAGAGCTACGATTTTCTTTCCCGTCGATCTTTCACGAGTACCCTGCATAGAACAGATCTTCTCTTCTCTTGCAGCAAATTGACAATGACACAAGACATGAGCCATTGGGGTTGACTCTTTCTCCTCCCCTCTGGCCTCAAGAATTGGCTGCTTTAAAATAGGCAATTGACCGGTCAAATTCTTTACCGACAGAACTTTTTGGTCCATTAAAAAGCAGTAGCTCTCCATGCATGGACTATCTGGTATAGTTGCACAGAACTGTAATCGCTGCCAATTCATAGCAGCATAAATGGCCATGCAATGTGTCGCAGTCGATCATGATAGTAATGTCCGAACGAACGATCTCCAAGACGGTCTCCTCATGGACAATTATTTTGCATACAATTAGGTATAGAAGCAAAAGGAGAGGATCGGCGGTTGTTGGCCATTAGGGCATCTCCAGCCGTTGGCCCCCCAGGGGGGCGTCTAAAATTGCCGCCTGGGGGTGAGCCGGCGCAAAAATTGGGCCTGAGGGCGAGTTGGTCCCTAGCCGCCGGCCCCAGGGCCGCCCCCAGGCACGTTTTAAAATAAAAGAAGTTCGACGAAGTTCGGCTTAAACACGATAAATTTCGGCTAAACACGATAAATTTCGGCATATTTCGGAGAAGTTCGCGGATTTTCATTACATAGCACATATACATAAACTAATCTAAAGGAAAAACTGGCTGAAGTCGCCGCCGTCGCCGCCATCGTCGTCGTCGGCCTTCTCCTCCCTGACGCGGGTGCCCCTACTGGATCCCTGCCCGGCGTCGCCATGGCGGACTGGTGGCGGTGCATCGTCGTCGTCGTCGTCGCTGTCGCAGATGACGACGACTCCGCCTTCGTCGCGGCCGCGTCGACGTTCCGCGAAGCGAAGCAGGGCGCTGGCGCTCCTTCGCCTTCTCCAGGCGCTCCTTCTCCATAGCTATGGAGTCCTTGCGCGCCCATTCCAGGGCCACGTCGTCGTCGTCGAGCTCCGTCGTCACCGGCGCGGCCGGCTCCTTCTTCACCGGCGCGGGCCCCGGCTCCGTCTTCACCGGCGCGAGCCCCGGCTCCGTCTTCACCGGCGCGAGCCCCGGCTCCGTCTTTGGCTTGACGAAGCGCGGAGGAGGAGCCGACGAGGAGGCGCGCCGACCGCCCTCGTTGATGACGATGCCGGCGCTGCGGGTGCGCCGGCCGAGCGGCGTCTCCGCCGCGGGCTCGGCCTTGACGCCGAGCAGGGCCGGAGTGCCGGAGGAGTGCGATGAAGACCGGGAGGAGGAAGAAGAGGAGGAGGACCCGAACCTCCTTGGCGCCCATGGCCCGGCGCGTCGGTGCTGCGCTGGGGCGGCCGCCCTCGCTGGGTACGCCAACGGCGGGTCGTTGCCGCCCTCGAGGTACGTCAGCACGCCCTCGAGTGTGCGGCCGGGGACGCCCCACCACAGGTGGCGCCCCTCGCTGTTCTGCCGGCCGCCAACCACCGGCGCGCCGTTGATGGACGCCAAGCGCTGCTGCTGGCGGCGCTCGAAATACGCAGCCCAAGCCGCGTGGTTGTCGGCGACGTACTGGGGGAGGGAGAGTTGGGCGTCGGTAAGGGAGGCGCGCACGACCTCGACTTTCTCGGCGAAGTACGTCGGCTTCGCCACGGCGTCGGGCAACGGGGGAATGGGAACTCCCCCGGCGCTGAGCCTCCACCCCGTCGGCCCGGCGCGCATGTCCGGCGGCGCCGGGATGTTCGCCTGGAACAGGAGCCAGGACTCCTGTTCGCGGAGCGAACGGCGGCCGAAGCCGTTGGCCGCCGCCTCGTCTCCGGGGTAGCGTTCCGCCATGGCGACGGGCTCGGGAGAGGTAGAGAGATAGAGGGAGGGGCTGGGCGGCGGCGCTCGGGAGAGGTAGGGAGAGGGAGGAGCTGGGCGGCGGCGAGGAGCGGGGCTGGTGTGGGCACAGGCGAGTGCAGGCCACCGGCTATATAGCCGCGCCGCACCCGTGTGTACGCGTGCGAGGGAGGGGAGGCGTCGGCGCGCCGTCCCGTGACGCGCCGCCTGTGAGGAATCAATGGCAAGGCTGACCGGCGGCAGCCTTGGCATTGATTCCCCGCGGGAACCGAGGCCGTTGGGGGAAGACGAGGCGCCGTGTCGCTGACACGGCGGGCCTGCGGCTGTTTCGCGCCAAAACAGTTCGCCCCGGCGTCCCCGGGCGCCCCTAGCGCGCCGGGTTCGGTCTGGGTCCGCCGGCGCTGTTTTCGGTTCAAGCCAGCGAAAATCGGGCTCCTGGGAGCACGACTGAGCCGTTTTTTTGGCGCCGACGTGAAAAAATCGCTTGAGGCGCGGCTCGAGATGCCATTATACGCCAGAGTTTACTACTCCACTAGCATTTTCGCATGTGATGGCCGGCCGTGAGCGAGCGATGTCTAGTCGCTAGTGCGAGTAATAAGTTTATGTCGTGGTAGTTGTGCGGATTTGGTCTGTTGGTTGTGTGCTGCTGCCTCCTCTATTTGCTTCGCTAGCACCGGCCGGGTTTAACCCGCCTAACGTAGTCGTGGGACATGCCTAGCAAGAACACCTTACTCATTGCACATCCTTGCATCGGATGCTATTTTTTTTTCTTATATTATACATTTTGTTCATGACATTGCCTTAGTTCTGTAGCTACAGAGTTTGTTTGCTTGTGTTTATGATTGAGAGCCTTTTTTTAGGGAGAGATCCTCATGAATCTGTTATATTGGCTATTTGCATGCAATACGAAAGTCAACAAAATTCTTTTATCTTGGGGATAACTTTGGCGAGCAATCTTTCAGAAAGTTTTCACATTTTTCTATGGTGCAACTAAACAATATACTACTACTATGTGTTACGTCTTCCTGTGTTTTGAACTTACCACGTAGAATACATCTACATTTCAGATTTTTTTTTACATTACCGCGTTTACTAAACCTCAAGTTCTAAACTTTTCTCCCCGGTAAATAATTGTTCCGAGCGTGTTAAATAAGAGATGGGCAAAGGGGGCTAAATTTCGTGTTTTGACCCTTTTTCGAAACCTATTCGAGATTTGATTCTGGTTTGAAAAAATTTCAAGATCTGACCCTTTTGCTACCGCCAGGGAGCA